ATCAGGAAAGGGTGTTGGATTTTGTCAAAGGCCTTTTCTGCATCAACTGATAGGATCATGTGGTTCTGGTTCTTTGCTTTGTTAATGTGATGAATTACATTGATTGTTTTTCTTATGTTGAACCATCCTTGCATCCCTGTTATGAATCCTACTTGGTCATGGTGAATTTTTTTTTATGTATCGCTGGATTCTATTGGCCAGGATTTTGTTCAGGATTTTTGCGTCTATGTTCATGAGAGATATTGGCCTATAGTTTTCTATTTTAGTGGTATCTTTACCTGGTTTTGGTATCAAGGATATGTTTGCTTCATAGAATGAGTCTGGGAGAATCCCATCTTTTTCTATTTTCTGAAAGAGCTTATGTAGGATTGGTAACAGTTCTTCTGTGAATTTTTGATAAAATTCACTTCTCAGATGCATAGGAAGCAACTGAAAATAGGAAGGCTTGGATCAACCACATCTTAATCTTTAAGCTGACATCATTGTTTTTTAACACTTTGGAGAGATTCTTGACATCAGGTATTTCCCTTGCAGCACATCTTTTGAGTTTCCGACTGCTGTTACCATACATGTTGCTTGTGGATCCAAGTGAAATGAAGTTGTTGACTACTTCAATCTTTTCTCCATCTATCATGATGTTGCCTCTTGGTGGTCTGGTGTTGAGGGTATTCGTTTTCTTGATATTGAGATGTAATTCATATTGAAAGCTGTAGTCTTTGATTTTCTGCAATAAGTGCTCTAGTCCTCTTCACTTTCTGCAAGCAAGGTTGTGTCATGTACACAAAGCATGTTGTTGATGAGTCTTCCTGCTATCCTGATGCCACATTCTTTTTCATATTGTCAAATTTCTCAAATGATTTGTTTAGCATATATGTTGAACAGCTGTGGAGAAAGAATACAACTCCAGTGCACACTTTTCCTGATTTTAAGCCATGTCATAGTGCCAACTGCTTCTTTGTCTATGTATAGGTTTCACATGAGCACAGTTAAGTATTCTGGGAACCAACATAGCAGTGGATTTTTTTGCGACTGTAAATTGCATGGGAGGAAATTGCCCATCTTTACCCCATGGCACTTCTGGTGAATTCAAACTGCCCGAGACACATTGCCTGTGGGTTAGCTGCACAACTCACCATGAACTATGTGACCAGAGCTTGCTGACTGGAGAGAAAAGGACATATGTGCTGAGCTTTGAAGATAAGCCACGCACCTCATTCACCATGCTCACAGGCAACACTTCAGTAGGGAGGTAGCATTAGTCCCAGATCATATAAGAAAAGTCCAAACACAGAGAGTTAACTAGTCCATAGTCACCAGCCAGTGAATACTAGAGATTGTTGTTGTTAGGTGTACTCGAGTTGAGTACAACTCATAGTGATCTCATAAACAACAGACCTGAATCCTGTGACATTCTCATCATCTCTGATATACTCCAACCCATTGCTACGATCACCATGTGAATCCACCTCATCAGGGGTTTCTTCTTCTCGTTTTCTGACCCTCCATCTTTCTAAGCATGATGTTCCTTTCTGAGGAATGAATTAGCTTCGCCTAGCAACATGCCCAAACAAAAGTTCTTAACACTGGGCCAATAGGCAATATCATGATGGATGGAGAAAAAATTGAGGCTGTCAATGATTTCATCTTACTTGGATTCACAATCCACACCCTTGGTACCAGCAGTCAGAGAACAGGAGATGCATTGCTTTGGGCATGTCCACTGACAGACCTCTCCAAAATACTGAAGATGTCAGTGTGAAGGCTAAGGTGCGCCTGATTCAGGCCATGGTCTTTTCAGTCACTAGAGATGAGTTCTCACTTATTTGGTGCTCCCATTGTATGCCTTGGGGTAGGAGAGACCACGGGAGCCTGGAGTTGGGAAAGACTTAGTGGAAGGGTTGTTGACTTGATCTTTAAAAGTCAGCAGGATTTCAGTTGGCAGAGAAGACACATAAGAGGAAGGAAATTTGGTGAGGAGACAATATAAGAAAACAAGCTGAAAGGCAGGAAAATGTAAGGGGCATTCAGGAGGTGAGCAGTGTTCACTTTGGCTGGAACTGAAATGTGCAGAGACAAGTAGACTATAACTGAATGATGAAGATGTTGGTATTTATGCAGTGAGGAACTAGGAGAGAACTTTGAGAAGATGTAATCTCAGGTGTAAAAGAAGGGCTGGCCTGTTGATAGTTCTGATTGGTGAGGGGAAGGGCAGAGGCTCTGGCATCTTGGAGACAAAGATTCTGGTGCTCAAGGCTGGGGGAGCTTCCCATCTCAGGTGAGAAAGCCCAGCATTCACCTTTGCCTTAGCCTTCTCCTTCAGTGCCCAGGTGCCACAGCTCAGCCTCTGTAGTGGTTAATATTTAGACAGCAGAGGGAGGGAGGCCTTGGTGCTCCCGCCCCCAGCAGGGTACTGTGCGGGGCAGGGCAGGGGCACTGGGGTGAGACGGATGAATGTGGTCAGAGAAGCCTATTGCACAGTCCCAGGGGAGGGGGCAGGCAGCAGGGCCAGAGTCCAGCCGGACATCTACATGAGTGACCTTGCTGGTGAAAGGCGCCAAATGCCAGTTATCTGGAGGCCTACGACTGCCTGCTTGTGAGAGGAAAGAGCCCTTGTCCCTGACTTGGATAAAAATGCCCATCCTCAAGGCCTCAAGAGCCCCCTGGATCTAAGGTAAACTAGTCCTACTGATGGTCTCCTACCTGGGTATCGCTCTATAGGAAAACCTATCTGCCTGCAGCCTGAACTAAGAGGCACTTAGTGTTCAATGTCTCCTGCTTCTGGGGAGGAGAATTTGCTCCCTCTCTCATCATAGCCTGAACAGAGAGAACAGGCCAGCCACCAGGTAAGATCAGCCATTTGTCATTGAGACATCAGACCTGTCCAGGAGGAGGGCTGAAGAATGGGCACGTATCTCCCACAGGAGGTCAGAGATGAGGAGGAGGTGGAGGATGGCATGGGAGAAAAGGGTCTTCTGACCAGATGACCCCACTGTCAACACACAAACACACACATACACACACATTCATACATAGCCAACACACACAGAGGACAGGCTCCATCCCTCTTGGAAGCAATGACCTTGGCCGCTACCACTCCTCAGGTCGCCAGAGGGAGCCCTAACTCTGCAGTCCCCTCAGTTCCAAGGGAGCTCGACCTGGCAAAGGATTGATTCCTAAAGGGCGTGGGGCTTGGGCGAGACAGTGGGCATGGTCCATGTGGGATTGGAAGAAAGCTATCGCCTGGGTTTTTCTCTAATTTGAAGGGAATGAGGGATGGTTTGGGATTTGGAGGAGGTGCTCAGATGGGGCTATCAGAGGTCAGGTCAAGGACAGACTTCTGGACCACAGCCCCAGGCCCAGCCAGGCCAGTGCCCAGCAGCCTCCCCATCCTCTGGGAAACCGTCCCTCTGGCTCTTCAGCATGGTCCCCTTTTCCACATTTCTCCCTTCCTTGTCTCTGTCACCCTTTCTTAATCGCACCTTGGTCTTTCAGGAGTGGGGGAGAGTCCCCACCCAACACCAGCCAGCTGTCTGGCCCTGAATTAAGGTTCTCCTGAGGCGAGTCCAGCAACCAATCCTAGAGCTTTACGGAGGCAGAAGAGGGGGAAGGGTGAGTTGGTGGAGGCTTAGTGTAGCCCTAGCTCCTGAAGCTTTGTCCAAAGCCCCTACCCTTAGTGCTGAGAAGCGAAGCCTAAGCACTCTCCATCACTGAGGAAGAGGCAGTAGAAGCCTTGGCTTCCTCCTCCTCCCTCCTCCCTGCTGCTGACTGCACCGCTAAGCCTGGCCTGGGCTGCCGGCAGGTTGTCTTGGCAACCGGAGGCGGAGAGGAGATGCGCTGAGGGTTGGAGGTATATGTCACGGAGGAAGCTGCCTTGCTCCTGCCCCACGCCCCAGGTCCTTGAAGGTACCGGAGAACCCTGCCCCTCCTCTTTTCCCTCCTTCATCTGGCCCTTTCCCCTCAGTCCCTCCACCCCACTCCATATCATGTGCTTATTTCCATCAGAAAACTGCAGTCTCTTATTACCCATTTCTCTCTGCCCACCTCACTCCAGGGCCCTGTTCACAGTTGTCCTTTCCAGCACCAGCTCATTCCATTCCCCCCTTGGGGACCCTTGCACCGGAAGACCAATCTTACAGGGTGGGGTCTGGGGGCCGGGTGAAAAGCAGGGGAGGGAATGAGGTTTGTGCCGCCTAAATGCTGAGCTTTTACAAGCACCTGGTCCTTGCTCTGGTGGCAGATGGAGGGAAGGAACTTGCTCAGGACTGTGATGGCGCTGGGCATCATCACTTAAATCTCAGGCGGGCCCTGATTCCAGGGCAGTGAGGGTGGGGTTGAAGGGTCAGAAAGCAGGAGGCTGGGCTAAAGCCATGGCTGGTGATCGAGAAACAGGGCATGGTTAGCTCCTCCTCTAAGGCTACTGCTCCTCTCCTGCCACATGAAAAGTGCACCCCCTCCCACATCACTCTCCTGGCCGGCCCTTTCATGGTTCGATCAATCTGACATCTCCCCTTCCACCCCTAGGTTTTTCTGTACCTTTCCACTGCACCCTACTCCCAGCTCCTCCCACCCCACAGCTTCTAAGGCTGATTCTGGCTGCCCTTTCCCTGGCCATTTGCTACCTGCCTTCTTCCTTCATTTCTCCTTTATTTCTGGAACCCTCCCTTGAGAATTGCACTCTTCTCTGCCTTCCACTAACCTGGATACACCTTTCCCTTCCTGCCCCTACCTGTTCCCTCCTGTCCTCTTCTCTTGGAAAAAAAAGGCCTTGACCTCCTCAAGACCCTTCCTAGTGATTTTTTCCATTCAGATAACTTGGAGTCCCTCTCCCCAGATTCTAGATTGCCCCCCACAACAGCTGATGCTATCAGCTGACTGGCAGTGGCCAGCAGTTACCAGGGCAACAGCAAGGTCTGCCTAGGTAGGCAAGTCTGCTCGTGGAGGTGGAGAGAAAGCTGGGGTCTGGCCATGGGGTCAGCAGCCTGGATGCATTTCCTTCCGTCCCCCAGGTGGGGCCCAAGTGAAGCTCCAGGCTCGGCTCTGAGCCCATAGGGAAGCAAAAGACCAATGTCAGGGCCCTGGCTGGTGATATTTCTAGGCACAGGGAAGGCTCATCCATGTACTTTCTGTGCTGAAACCTGGGGATCACCTAGCAGGATTTCCCCCCTTTATTAAGAAATGGGTTCTTCGTGCTACAACTGCTATGTCCTATTGCAGTTGTGGGAAAGTTCTGGTTACCAACAAGTCTTCTATCCGGAGACCCAGCTCTCTCATCCTCCCATTTGTTCTTCTCAAAGAGACAAATCCTTGACTGACAAATCTGGGGACCTCTGCCCTCAAGCCCCACTGAATGCCTCTTAGCTCCCCAGGAGTGGCTGGGACCCTAGAATACTCTGTTGCTGGTGGTAGGTGGTGAGATGGCCATGGACTGGGGTAGAAAAGACAAGTGCTTGGAGGAGCCCGGCATTGCCCTCCTTGGTTATCCGCAGAACCCCCGACTCCCAAATTTGAACTCCATAGCTATTTACAAGGAGGAGACTTAAGGGACCTTGTGTCTGTGTGCCTGAGAGTGAGTGCTGCCTGGCCGGGTGGGGTAATAGGAAAGGGGAAAAGGACAACATGGGGCCAATTCTGCTTCGTCATGATGCCGGGTTAATGCTTCTCTTGTCTGAAATGGATTGAGCTGCAGCAGAGCTGAGGTAGACGAGCAGCATGGGCACACACACACACACACACACACACACACACACACACACACCCTACACCCCTGCTCTGGCCACACGCTATCAGCTGGAGGTGGGGAGGGTGCAGGGAGGGCGTGGGGTGGGGGGGAGACAGGGCCCGCCCGCCTTCTGCCGGCCGCCTGCCTACCAGACGCGAACTCCCCAGCACCAGGGGATCCGAGCGGCTGTGGCTTGTGGAGAAACTGGGTGGGGGTAAGGGGTGGGGGCCCAGCGAGGAGATCAGATCGCTCAGCTGAAACCAGCTCCCCTCCTTCGCCAGCTCCCACCCCACCCACTCCAAGCCGGCTTCCCCCCCCCCTTGTTATTTGTGCTCTGGGAGAGCGCGGCTGGGTTCCTGGAAGAGAAGCCTATTACCTAGGCTCTTGAGAAAAAAACGCGGCAGCCCCTGGAGCTGGGCCTACGCCTCCCTGGTTCCCCGCCTCAGGACCGCAGAGCTCAGAGCATCAGGGCCACCCTGTCTGGGAAGAGGTAGGTGGCAGGGTCTTCCACCTCTTTCCCTCTGGAAGCACTCTGGGCCCTTTCACCTGCTTATGAGTGAGGTTTGGGGTGATGGCTAGATCTCTTAGGGAGGGGGGCAGCTGTGGCCCCTTGTTGGGAGGGAGGGTGGGCCTGGGTGGCTAGACTGTGACTAGCTGGATTTATTCTGACCAGCCCTCTTTGTCATGTGAGGAGAAGAAGGCAAAAGCTGCCTCAGTGCCCACTGCACCTGCTAGTCTCCCTTCTCACCTAGTTGTGCTGGCCAGAAATGGAGATGATGGGATCCTATAGACATGGAGTGAGCAGAAGAGCCGTTCCCTCTTTGCTGAAGAATGGGATGATTAAGTCTGCATGCCTCCCTCTGCTGCTCCACAGATACCCTTGAGGGTTGAAGCAGTTCACAGAGAGGCCGAATGCAGTTGATTTGGATCCTGCTCCGTAGGGGGAGGGATCTAAAGAACCCCCTTCTAGCTGCTGGTGGCTGGCCAGCCTGGAGTGAGAGCCAAATGGGGAAAGAGACTTGATGGCAGGGCAGGGCTGGACAACTAGAGCTTGGAGGTGCTACCTGCTGAAGAGCTTGAAGTGATGCCTCCTTGAGGGTCCTGGGCGCCCTCCCAAGCTCTGCCCCTTTCCGGCAGACTCATCTGGCATTTCCCTCCCAGGAGACTGTGTTGCCAGGGTGTGTGAGTCCCAGAGAGCAGCAGCAGGTCTAGGAGAAGGAGAGTCGTTAAGCTGTGGAAATGGGGGACAAGAGAAAGGTTTCCAGGGGGTGGATAGGTGAAGGGGTCCTGTGTGTGTCAATGTACACGTGCAGGGCTCAGGGTGGGGGCTCAGCACGTGGTGCAGGCGGCTGTGAGTGTGGAACTGGGTGCCAAGGGGAGGATTGGTGGGTGGGTGTGAGTGAGTATCAGCATGCCCATGTGCCATTGTGTGTGGGCTCACTGGGAAGGTTGGGGGCGTGATCTTGCAAACAGGGCTGCAGAGTCTCCCCATGTGCACCTGAGTGCAGAAGTGTTGCAACAGTGTCTTGGCGTGGGGCTTTCTCAGGGTGTGTGCCCATATGGGAGTCCTCTCCATATGTCCATGTGGGTGCCTCTCTGTGGGCACATGTCAGTGCTTCGGAAAGCTGGTACACCTGTACATCTATACAGATATATTCTCTCTCTCTCTCTGTGTATGTGTGTGTGTGTAATGTGAGACCCTTCCCTCTCCGACACCTTCCCTCTCCCACAGCACTAGCATTCTGGCCTGTGTAGGTGATAGCACTGCAATCTGATAAATGGGATCATGCTCAGGACTGAGCAAGCTTTAGGGGCTGGGGGAGCCTAGGAATGGGTATTGGGAAAGGGTGTGGAGACCCAAGCAAGAGAAATATCTATAGAAAAAGTTGCATGTTTATGTGAGGTGAGATGGGGAGGAAGGAGCCCCATGGGCTCAGTCCAGTTAACATCAGAGTGGGTGAGGGCAGATGCCTGAGCGTCTGGATCCCTGAGCAAGTGGGTCCTCAGGCTGACACCCAGGTTCTGGGCTCAGAGATGCTCACCCACTCCTGTCTAATGCGTTATCAGAGTGAGGGTGTTGTATGGTGTTGGCACCAGAGGAGCCCTAGTCAGACCTAGCAGTTAGAACAGGGCTTTTTTAAAAAGTTTTAGAAGGGGGTAAATGAGAGAAGGCAGGCAGTAGCTAAATTTGGCTAACCCAAATGAATGCCTGGGGCTCAGGCCTGGGCTAGCTGGGGGGCATTGGTGAGTGGTTGGCTCAGCCCAGGCCCTAATATCCCCCTGCTCTCCACACATCCTTTCCCGGCCAATAGTGTGCCCCACCCCACAACACGCGCATACACACAGACCCCAAGGGAGCAGGCCTGGTCCCTCCCTTCCCCTCCCCTCCCCACCCCACCCCACCCTAGGATGCTGTTTTGGGAACCCGCAACCTAGCTGGAGCCTGCCTTTATTTCTGGCATGGAGTTGTTGCCACAGTAACAGCGGGGGTGGGGCCGGGAGGGGGAGAGACTGAAGAAGCAGCCGGGATGGAGGGAGGAAAGATGAAGAGAGGAAAGAAAGGAAAGAAGGAAAGGCAGGCACAGAATGAAAGAGACCGCGAACAGCGGAAGGGGCAGTCCCCGGACCCACCCTGACCCCGGCCGACTTGGATGCCTCGCTTCGTTTCATAACTGGCGCGCTGTCTGCACTAGCTGGCAGAAGCCTGCCTGACCCCAGCCCCCGGGGGCGCTGAGCAGTGTCCTCCAGACTCCCCGCCCCTTTTCTGTGAGGTCAGCACGCAGGCTTCTCATGGCACCACCATGTCAGGTTAGCATGTGCAACTCCAGAGTTCCATTGGGGCGGGATCTCCAGGGGCTCACTGACAACAAGCATTCACTGGCTTCTGGCTTCTGGTGTTAGACAGGCAAGGGCTGGCATTCCAGCTTGTCTTCTATTTGAGTGGCCTTTTGGCAAGTTAAACCTCAGCTCTGAAAGGACAAAAACTGCTGGGTTGCTGGTTTGTGTGGAGTTTAGAGAGGAGGCATGACCGTCTCCTTGCAGGGTGACTGGCACCGAGCAAGCTGTGGTTGTCTTAGAATCAGAGGGAGTGAAGCCGATTCAGCCCAGGGAACCTTCATTTCTAAGAGGTCTAGGCAGCTCCTAGAGCCTACTGAATTAAACTTGTCCCTGTGGGTGGGTCTTA